TGTTTTGATTTTCTTGTTATATCTTCTAAAAATGCTCTTTAGAGCATTGTCATGATACTGAGAAGACTTCTATTATAATAATTTTTCATTAGAACCCAGTAAAACCTGCAAGTACCTCCAAGCTATAGAATGAAAGCAAAGGTTCAAATATAATGAAAAAGGCCTACCAGGAGTTGAGATGCCTACTCTGCCACCAAATATGTGACTTTTGCCCCTGCTGGCCTCAGTTTCCCTATTTATAAACAGAATCTTGTATTATATGAGCTGTAGGAATTCTCAGTGTTATTCTGTGATACCTGAAGTACTTGTTTAATAGTTTTTAAAGTCATCATTCTTGTGTAGTAATTTGAAAGAGCTCATTTCTGCAAAATTATGTTTTTCTAGTATCTCAGAGAGGTATTACTACTTTTTAATCTTCAGCTTACAGTTAATAAATATTAGAACTTTTCCTTGGCGATATCTTAGCCTGTTTCTCCCACCAAAGGAAAATATTGATACTATATTGATTCTCTCTTCTCAAACATACCCTTTTTTCTTCAACTAAAATGGTAGGGTCTACGAGTAACTTTCTGAGAGCCATCCTGGCTCACTTCAGTGGTGTTAAATGATAAGCCTGATAATATACCAATTCATTGTAATTCTACTTACTTTATTCCTTCTCCAAGATAACTTTAAGAAGCAACCAGGCCGGGCATGGTGGTTCATGCCTGTAATCCCAACACTTTGTGAAGCTGAGATGGGCACATCACGAGGTCAGGAGATCGAGATCATCCTGGCTAACACAGTGAAACCCCATCTCTACTAAAAATACAAGATGGTGGCATGCACCTGTAGTCCCAGCTACTTAGGAGACTGAGGAAAGAGAATCTCTTGAACCCGGGAGGTACAGGTTGCAGTGAGCAGAGATTGTGCTACTGCACTCCAGCCTTGGCGACCGAGTGAGACTCTGCCTCAAAAAAAAAAAAAAAGAAAAAAGAAAAAAAAAGAAACCATATTTCTTCTCTTTGGCCTATTTATAAGCCAGAAACATGGGGAAGGTAGGTTTCTGAGTGTTGGAAGGCTACACAAAATGCAGAGAAACCAGGCTCACTTTTATTTTAGTGATCACCACTGCAAGTTTGGTTTGACTGGGGAGTCCTGTGTTTTCAGTTTGATACTTAAGGCCTTATGAGTTTCAGTCTTGCTGCTGGAAGTGTCTTGGTTTTAGCCAAACCATGGAGGAAAGTGACATTGAATACTGATGCAATCAACTCATTGGAGCTGCTTTTCAAAATGTTCAGGGGCAATACCAGTGACACTCTTTTAGGATTCCTGTTGTCCCTATAACACATTAGCAGAAACTTAGTTGCCTGAAAAAAACAGAAATTTATTGTCTATAGTTCAGAGGTCAGAAGCCTGAAATGGATCTTATAAGGATAAGATGAAGTATTGGCAGTGCTGTGCTCCTTTTGGAGGCCCGAAGGGAGATTTTTTCCTTTTCTTTTCTGGTTTCTAGAGGCTGCTGCCCGCATGCCTTGATTCTTGCCCTCTTCCTCTTATCACTCTGATCTCTACTTCCATCATCATATCTTCTTCTCTGATTTTAACCCCTTTGCCTTCCACTTATAAGGACTCATTTGATTAGATTGAGCCCATCCAGACAATCCAGGATAATCTCCTTAAGTCAAGGTCTTTAACACTATATGCACAGTCCCTTTTTCCGTGTGAGGAAACATGTTTGTAGGTTTTGGATATCAGGGCATAGGCATATTTAGGGGTCATTATTCTCTCTACCATAGATTCTTTCTAGTTATTAATGTTGTTACCTGGATGTTACTTCCTTCTGGAGGCCTTCTAGGACACCGTTAGACCTCCATCTTCCCTGGTCATTCTTGACAGCATTTCCCTGTTTTATTAAGTCTGAGAATAGTAAGTTTATTTTCTAAACATTTTTAATTTAATTGTTTATTTTCTGTATCCTCTGCTATCACATAAACTCCACAGGAGCAGAAACATGATCAGTTTTCTTCACTACTTTGTCCCCTAAATCCAAATAGCTCCTAGGACTTGGTAGAATCTCAAAAGAAGGTTATTGAGTGAAGTATAATTTAAAAATAAGAAAAAAATGTTATTGAATAAATCAATCTGTATACAGACTAAGGAGGCTTGCCTTATATTGAAACTATGTTAACATACTCCTGTTCCTATTACTATCAATAATGCAAACATTTTTACTAACCAGTAGTTAAGTTTTCTGTCAGTGAATTTTTTTTTTTAATGTAAATACATGAGTTTCTCTTTGGGACATCACTGAGATCAATAAAACAAGATACCAGATGTAAAATGGAGCTGCAGGAAAAAAGAAAATAATTAAAATTAATGTAGATAGTAAATACTTTGCCAAACAGAATGTTAACATTACCTCAATCCAAGCTGTAACCATGATATCAAGGTGAATGACATGTGGTCCTTACCTTGTTCAACACAAATTTGCAACATTAATATTTCTGATTCAAAGGAAATTGAGATAAGAGCATCAATAGTCCTACAAGAAGAATGGAAGAGGGAGAGGTTCATTTTAACTGAAACATCAATTCTGATAAGCAGAGGCCCTTCCGAAAATATGGTTGTTAGCACTCTAGGAAACTCAAGGAGCTTTAGGTAGAAGGAGTGATGTTATTTATTGACATGGCATTAAAAGCAACTCTGATGGAAAGAGTGCCTCTATAAGCAGGTAATTTATAGCTGTTCAGTTGTACATTTATACATCCAGGGAATTGATAACTACCTTCAAATGAATCAGGCAATCAGGAGATTAACTGAGTACCTGGTCAGTACTGAGTCCTGTAGTGAGGAGGAGAGGAGGCTAGAATTGGTTGGAAAGGTTTCATGCAAGAGGGGTGCTATGCAGTGAATTGTGCCCTCCCCAAATTTATATGTTGAAGCTCTAACCCTCAACATGACCATGTTTGGAAATGGGGGACCTTTAGGAGGTCATTAAGATTACATGAGGTTGTAAGGGTGGGACCCTAATTTAGTATGACTGGTGTCCTTATAAGAAGATGAAGAGACACAAGGCATGTACACTTACAAATAAAAGGCTATGTGAGGACACACAGAAAATGGCCATCTGCAGGCCAAGGAGACAGGCCTCTGGAGAAACCAAATCCACCAACACCTTAACCTTGGACTTCTAGGCTCCAGAACTGTGAGAAAGTAAATTTCTATTTAACACACCCGGTCTGTGGTATTTTGTTTTGGCAGTCCTAGATGACTACAGGTGGAACTTGATCTAAATCTTGAAGGATGAGTAGGGCCATTTCTGGGAAACAGCTTTGGTGAAAGGTCTAGTTCAGAAAAGGGCTCAGCAAAATTAATGAATGAAAAAACCACAGAAAGTGTTGGAATGAACACAGCTTTTGAACTAAAGAATAGAAGAGAGAACTGACTGTGGGTGGGCTATGGGTAGGTGCTTGTGCACCATTATGCCTGGGGTGGGGAAGGTGATTATGGAAGATTCTGAAATCCAGGGAAAAGGTTTTTTGTTTTTTGTTTTTGTTTTTGTTTTGTTTTGGCTATATTAGAAAACCTAGGGCTTACATTTGAGGTTTTGATAAGGAGTCACCTTTAAAAGATCTGAGGGATATGATACGTGGTAGAGGTGTAAATGAAGAGTAAGCTGCACCTCCAAGAACTACCATAAAAAAAGAAAACAAAGTTTAGTCGATGCTGGGTATTAGCTGAGAAGAGTTAGGAGTTATGGTTGAATGGTTAATGAGGCTGAGAGGTACCCAGGTAGTTGTTAAATTTTGAGGTTTTATGAGGGTTAGAATGTATTAGCAACAGAGGTACAGGATTGTCCCATACCTAACTTCTTTAAAATAGGAGAACAGACTTTAAAACAGAAGAATTATCCTTCCTTTCCAAAAAGCTGTATTATTACTAATCAGACTCTATCCTTTCACCTAATCTCATAGTTTAATGTATGTGAAATTTCAGGGATGGTTGAGGTCCCCTGTGGCCCCACAGAAACCTAAGATGTCCCTTCCTGGGATACCCTGGTTCTCAGGGAGCAGCAGCACTGTTGGCCTCACATACTATGTGCAGTTGCTCATGTGGCTTTTAATTTCTAAAATAATGTTTGTCACATGTTTTTCATTTGAGTAATTGTACATGTTTATTTTAGAGGTTTGGATACTGTAGAAACATAAACACAAAAATTTCCAATAATTTGCATTCCTACTGTTTGGATATAGCTATTATTTGTATTTAGTGAATCAAATGGAACACACAGTTTTTCTTCCTTTTTTCTTTTCAATTAATACACATGAGTGTTCAGTATGCAAGTATTAATGTTATTGGAAACACTATATATTTTAGTTAAGAGTCCCTTGTTCTCTCTGGGAGTTCCTAGGATAGCATAGGAAATAATGATTTTTTTTTTTAACAAAAGAACATTTTGATAGGGCATACTGACAATAGATGTGCAGAGATTCAATTTTGTTTTAAGGAAGATGTGGAAACCTTGATGAAATTAGGTCTGGTAAATTAGAACTGAAATACTATTTTTAAAGTATGTCTTCATGATAAATGAAAAAGGTTTTTTTGGGAGGTTTATATATCTTCTTTCTAAATAGATCATATTCACCATGTTATTTTATTCTTGAATTGAGCATATCTTACTTATTTTTATTCCAAATGTACAAAACTTCATTTTAAAGGAGCTAGTCACTTAAAATCAGATAAGATGAATGAAGTGCAGTCATCTTGGAAATGAAATACTTAACCACTTGAGGTAAACTAGAAAAGTAGGGCACTTGGCCTCCTTGATCGGGTGGTAATTTACTTCAGATTGGTGAATACTTGGCTTCTAAGAAGGTGTAAATTTTGTTTTCACTGATTCTCCATGTTGAATTATTTTCTTATGAGACTGTAAGTGTTTTGAAATAATCATAAGAAAGACTAATTGTCTGATTAATATGGCTGCATAATAAATACCTTTTATCTTTTTGGTATTATAGTTGACTCACGTCGACCGAGCAAGCTTCCAGGTTGATGCCTTTGGAACATCGTTCATTCTCGATGTCGTGCTAAATCAGTAAGTGTTGAGCTGGACTTGCTTTTGTCAGATACACACTGAATCCTCTTTCTTATCCATTTGTAAAGTTTTTTCTTACTATATTTTACTTCACCTTTCTATGCCAGTTAAATATTATATTTGAAACTGTACTTACTGACGGTAGGTTATGAAGTCTGGCAGATAATAAGAAATATATATTCATTTGAAATCAAATAGCTATAATACATTTAAGAATGTAGAATGAAAGGCAGGAGTTACCCCAATATTTTGTGTAAGAATATATAATAAGTTTCCTATGAATGACAGTAAATTATGAAAAGAATACTTTGGGTATAGAAGTATCTTCCTTGAGAACAGCAGGAAAGAGAAAGTTGTACTTTTTGATTAATGATTCAGAGGATTGGCTGCATGATATGTGATGCTAAATAATACTTGGTGTTTGTTAGATGCTTTGATGTGGTGGTGTATTTCTGTGAGGTTTCTGGTACTGGGATTCTCCTGTGAATACAAAATAATTTTACAAATAGTTGTCTACCTAGAATTTTAGGTTTGGAGAGTGCTTTTAGTATGTTGCTGGATTTAATCTCTTACATTTGGTCTAAGTTTAATGTTTAATAAATCTGGTTAGTTAATGTTCACTTTTCTTAACAAAAGGGTTTTTATCCTTCTTCTTATCATGGGCAAGTGGGCAGAGACCAGGGTTCTGCCAGGCTCATGCTTCTGAGCTGGGCAGCATTGGGCCATCGTTTTCTGGAAGCATTTCTACAACATCTCAGGAAGAAAGTCTGAGGTCAGAAATTCAGACAGAGAGACCAAGAATGAGAATTAGAGTCTAAGTTGTCTGCAATTGAGAACCAGCTAGATGGAAGACTGTCAATTTAAAAAGGCATTTAAGAGGCAAGACTTAGGACCATACTAACTGGATAGGTAGCCATTAGCCACTTGTGGTTGTTTAAATTTAAATTAATTCATTCAAATAAAATTTAAAAATCTGTCCTTCAGTTGAATTAGCCACATATTAAATGCTCAACAACCCTCTCTGCCTTCATGCTCTCATCTACTTTACTACCTATTCTCCTTCTCTGCTTCATTTAAAAAATAATACTTATTACCATTTAATATATGGATGAACTCTTATAACATTGCCATTTTTGTGGGTTAAAAAAGTTTGACTAACATTATTGATGTATGGCCATCTATTATTTGATATTTTAATTATTTCTTTCATTTATAGTCTTTTTCCTACCCCTAGAATATAAGCTTCTCGAGGGCAGAGATTTTCTTTGCTTCACTGATGTATCCCTAACACAGTATAAGGGCTAAATTCCAGGTTGGGAGTCAAATTGACTCGGTAACCAGAGGATAGGACTAGCCAGGAGACAGAGGTGAGATGACCAGGTGAGGAAGAGTCAGATAGCAAAAAAGAAGGTAAATGTTTGAACTAGCTTCTGAAAGCTGAATGTAGATATATAGGTGTGATTTGGAAAGTTAGGTTCTTGGGTCTCTATTTTGATAACTGCCTTCCATCCCTGTTTGAAATCATTGTCCCTGTTGGTAATCTGTGTTTTCTGCTTGCTGACATTTGTAATTCATTGACTTTAAATACTCAGTAAAAGAAGGGATATTTATTTATGTCCATTCTGACCAAACTGCCTCACTTACTTTGGAGACATCCAAGTCCAAAAACTTTCTGTTCCTGAAGGAGACACACATATGGTCATACCTATCAGAGCATGAAGTTTAGAATACTGGGGTTGAAGCAAAATTTCTTTTGAGATATTGGCAGAAACCTCTATTGGGCATCTTTCTTTCTATTTCAATGCAAATTTGTAGTTACAAGACATATAAAGGATTAAATAATAGCATAAATGGAGGTTACCTGGGCTGAGAAACATGCAGTGTGCTCATTTTTTGCCTGTAATCGATACTAAACATAGGTGGCAGGTAGCTGTTTTCTTTATACTATAAAAATCATGATGTGATACAAAAATGTTTATCTTATTTTTATGTAGAATGATTTTGTTTCATGGTTTCAGTTTGTGTATTGTCTTAAGTTGGTTAAAGAGCAGGAACATGAAAAACAATATGCTCTTTAAACTTTTTTTTCTTATGAAGCAATTCTGGGGCTATGGAACATGTAGAAAATTTTTTTAACTGGAGGAAAATTAAATAAGTCTATGTGTAGCTAGCTTCCGGTTACAGAATGGATCCAATAATATATATTTTTGATTGGAATGGATGGAAAAGTATCATTACATAATGTTTCTTCTTAATGTTCAATAAATAAATTTAAGTAGATTACACAAGAGTTTAACCTTTGAGTAGTAACTTCCATAGGAGGCTGATAAAAATATAGAAGGATTAAAAATGAAAAGAAGAGCCAGTTTTTGTTTTGTCAAAATTATGAAGAAAAGGTTGGGGATCGGTTTTTCTTCATGGGGTCATACTTGTGAAATTTCACTCTTTAGGACAGATGTATTAATAAAACCAAACATGTGGGTTGGTCTGGCCACACTAGTCCTGAGGCTGCATTGGACCTTTCCAGAGGTCAGCAGTGAGTCCAATACTTCATTGTGAAACATTCCTCAAAAAGAAAAAAGCTTAATAAAAACAGGTAACTATATTATCTGAGCGATTCAGTCCAGTTTTTTTTCTTGTACATCTCCTGTTCTGGAAGAAGTGGGTAACTAAACTGTCCCATACGGTTAAGAATATTGAAGAATGTTTCCTTTCAGCAGTATTCTTTGATTCTTTTACCACAGGGAACCTGACAAAAACCACACGTAGCCCCCCAACGAAGAAGCAAATGCTGTCTGTTGACTGTGGTTGGTTATGATGTGAAACATATAACAATTAGGAAAAAAAATCTGTTATAGCCTCTTTTTTTTGGGAAGAGTTTCTGTTGTACAGCTCTCAGATCTTGAAAGATCCAGTGACTAAATTTTAAGTGTATTTTACAGATTCCCAGCTTCTTGTCTTCTTATTTCAATAACAACAAAATGGTTTTTCTCACTTCATGATGCTTATAGCAGTCTTCCCACCCCCCTCCAGCCCCCCACAATTTTACAGTAAGTGGTGGGAGGACAACTAGGAACTGAAGCATGAGGCATGACAGATGTCAGCAGATGGGGTTGCCCGTGAAGAATGGGACATGGTGTGGAGATGGGGGAGAGGGAGAGAGAGAAGCAGGAGCAGGGGTAGATAAGGAACACTCAAACTCTGTTCAAAAGAGCACATTGTCTTGCCTTCTCTCATTTAGAGGAAGCATTTCCAATTAGTTACCTCTTGATTGGTTTAAACTGGGGCCCTTGAGTTTGTAGGGAAAGTAAGGATCACCATGGGTGAAAGACAGGGTCTGAATTCAATTGGAATTAAACGTTAGCTCTCGAAGAGTCTCATCATGCTCTGTTTACAGTGTGGCTGATGATGATGATAAAAATAAGTGATGAGGATAAGATTATAATTAAATGATGATGTTATGTGATGATAATGAATAACAGTAGATATCTCACTGTTATTAATAAATTTGTAACTGAATGTCTTGCTGTCCACTAAATTCATTATGGTAAATATTTGTTCCTTTGTACGTTTAATACAAAATTATTATGTATAAGACAATCTGTATTTGGAATCCTTATGTCATTTCAAATATGTATATGTACACACATGCTCACCCCCCCATATATAGGAATATGCAGATACATATACATATAAACTTATATATATATATACAGATATATGTATGCACGCACCCATGCAAGTTTTCTAAGCCTGTAGTAATGCTGAAAGCTTCTCTAGACCCTGAACAGTTGAGAAGAAAGGAAATAAAGACTTTACTCTTAGGGAATTTACATCTAGCCAGAGAAACAAACAATGAACATGTTAAAAAAGGTAATTTCAGAGAGTGACAGTGCCATTTATAGAGAGTGCCTGGTGTGAGATGAAAATAGCACATCTGAGAATTGGTTTTCAGGGACAGGCCATCTCTAAGGAGGTGATGTTTGAAAGTAAGGGGCCCCCATGCAGAGGGAACAGCAAGGGTCAAGGCAGGAACAAGCTTCGCATGCTTGAGAGACAGAAGGGTGGCTTAGGAGTTTGGAACAGAGATAGCCATGTTATTAAATGTGGTTTGAAAAGTGCAAGGAACCAAAATATCTAGTGCCCTGTAGGCAGCAGAAAGATATTGGGTGAAAGTCTAAGTAGAGATTATTGATTTTCCCCACACCATTTTTTGTATTATTCTCTTCTTCCCTTACTGGCTTATGAACATTTATTCATCAGATTCGGTTATTACATATTTTGATGTTTTTTTCAAAGCAATCTCTTCTGAAGATCTATTCACTGATTTTAGGGCTTAGTACCATCATACTGTTTATTGTAGCTTTATAATGTGTTTTAATAGCTGGTATGGAAATACGTTCCCATATTAGTTTTCTTTTGCAAAATTTTCTTAGATATTTTTGCATCTTTTAAAATGGAAATTCAGAATAATTTTGCCATTCTTCCTTTGGAATTTATTGGACTGTCACTAAACTTATATTTTAATTTGGAAAAAAATAGACATTTTTACAGTGCTGAGTCTCCTCATCCAACATCACAGTGTATTTTTAAAAATGTTAAGCATTCTTTTATGTCAGTAAAATTTAGTATTTTTATTTTTGTAGACCCTGAATATATCCAGTAGAATATTTTTCTAGGAATTGTATTTGTTTTTGTTGCTACTGTGGATGTAATATTTTTCCATCATATTTTATAGTTATTTATTGGCATTATATAGGAAAGCCATTGATTTCTGTTATACCTTATTGAACTTTCTCATTTTTGCTAATGGATTTTTATTGTTTCTCTTGGGTTTGAATATAACATTCTAGTTTGACAATAACATGAATGGCAAATCATGAGAGTTTTTCTTTTCAAAATGTTACTACTATTTCCTACCTTAATGCTTTTTCTAAAAGTTTCTGAACTGTATAATTTGATGATAATAGCATTTTAATCTTTTTTTGGTAATAAAAAGA